TGGTTTACTGTACAGTTATGCACATGAAACAGTGGAGCACAGTTGTTGGGCAGCACAAAAGTGCAATCTGATATTCCTGTGAGGGTCAGTTGGTGCAGTGCACTACACAGCACAGCTGTGCTTCTTTGAGGTGTTCACCAAATGACCCAAAGTGTGACTTCAGCATAGGAGGGTTAATTAGAATTTATTTCTCTTGAAGCTACAAGAACCTTGTGCAGTTTATGCTCAGTTCAGCTTTGTTAATGCATGGTTGGTGCTGGATTCAAATAGCCTTTATAGTAAACCTCACATAGTGTCATATGTCAATTTTTTCTTTTTGGGGGAAGGGTGAAGAGCTGAAACCACTGCATGGACATAAAATGCAACAGAATTTGGCTATTAACAGAACCTGTGAGCTTATGATAGATGTTGTAAATATCTTGTAAATGAAGGTATAAAAAATGTAACTTTCCTTACTTCGCAAGCCTTGCGCTTAAGGTTTTTTAACTAGCCCACCGGGCTAATAAATTGATTTTTTTTACTAGCCCGTAGCAAGTTTTACTAGCCCGATATAACATGTATAATATTGAAATTAACACGAAATTAATCAAACACTGACTCAATGAGTTTTATTAAGAGATCATCAATGAATTTATTGCTACTTGCAACTTCCAGAGAGGAACCTGTTCAGTCATCTGTGATTGTACAATGAAAGAAATTAATTTAAACACCACTTTTTTATTTCACCACTCACCAGAGTTACACGGACGGCATTTTGAAACTTTTTGAGGATTATGAACGAATTTAGTTCAAATGCGTGCTTTGCTAGTCTTGTCTGTGTACACAATCCACGCTGCAACCAATATCTGACCAATCACAGTGTTGCATTTGCCACACCTATTCGCATCTACACTCGTTTGGAGTCTAGTTGTATGAGTCTGGTTCCGTAACACAAACATATGCTGGCATTGGGTCAGGGAGCCGACTGTGATGACCTGTATGTTGATCGTTGGTCATGCATGTGCATAATGCATATGTGGTGCTGACATTGTTCACACATACATGTACAGTGCCTATGATGTACAGACATACAGAAGCGCAAGCATCGGCAGTACGCGTAACTTACATACATGTACATGTATGTACGTGTACCGCAGGCTACATGCACAGTGTACAGTCAGCTCGACGGCGCAGCGCACGTGCTGCATGCACAGTGTACAGTCGGCTCGACGATGCAGCGCACGTGCTGCATGCACCGTATACTGCTGTCTACTTTTTACTAGTCCGCTGGGCAGCCAAGTGGTGCATTTTACTAGCCCGTGGTTGTTTTTACTAGACAATGACCGTCGGGCTAATGCTAAGGTCAAGCCCTGCTTTGTCAGAAAATGTCAATGAGTAGTGGTCAACTAGTTTTTTTAAGCCAACTCCGAGAAAAATACCCATGCCTCATTGTCTGCTTTTGTTAAGTTTCTTTAGGCTTGAAATCACCTTATATTTAATATACATTGTTGAGAAATGGTTGATTCATTACCAGAAGGAGCCAAATAAAGTTTACACACTTGCAATTTTTGGAGGACAGGTTTCACCGAGAGCTCCTTTTCCGAAGAGAGAGTGAAAGAATTCCTGAAGATGATGGATGATGCCATCGAGGAAATTGATCAAGAAACCAAAGAGCAACTGGTAAGTCTTGAATAAATTGTGCCTCCCACTTTCCGCACGCAGACTGAAGTAATGCACAGAGAGTCCGAGATCAGTTGAGAGGTTCTCAGATTTGGCTGACCATCGTGTGCTGCTCATCTGTGTGTATTTGGAAATCTTGTGTACTCCAGCAAGTGCCTAGTTTGATTTATGTTACACTGGCTTTGAGCTTCAATGTCATGGATTGAGTCACCAGTGTTGAGACACACAAGTTCGCTGTTGTATTGCTCTCTGGTTCACAAACATTACAGCCATCATAAAGCCAAATTTTGGAATTGTTTTTATAATGCGCCAGAAGACTCAGATATGGTCTCTTCTCGAAGATTTCATAACCTAGGAATCATTGTGGATTCTGCCTTGAATTTTCGATCACACTCTTCCTACATGTCACGGTCAATCACAAACAACCTCAGAAACCTCAGTAAAATTCGTAAACAACTTTCGAAACAAGCAACAAAACAACTGATACATGCTTTTGTCACTTCGCGCTTGGACATGTGCAACTCTCTTCTCTTTGGCATTCAACAACTGCTGACTCAACTACAGCGTAAACAAAATTGTGCTGCACGCCTCATTACAGGAACCAAACGCTTCTCACGCATAACTGCCACCCTTCAGCATCTCCACTGGCTTCCCATCAAATACAGACTCATGTACAAACTATTGCTTCTAACGCATCACTCACTACATGGCACTTCTCCCCCATATCTGTCTACACTCCCGTCTCCATAGAGTGCCAGTCGTTCAGGTCTCTGGTCTGCTAACCAGCATCTTCTGGCAGTACCGAGATCATACCTGTATCGCTGCCCCTTGTCTTTGGAATAGTCTCCCCCTTGAACATCCGGTCCAGCACATCTCTCAGCTCTTTCAAAACGGCACTCAAGAGATGTATTATATAGATTATAACCTTGCTTAGGGCGCTAGCTTGTTAGCAAACCTATTTTTTTTTTCCTGTACACAACTGCAGTAATTTACATTTACTTTTGTAGTGCCATGAGCGCCTACTTCCGGGATGCACTTTTCTAAATGCTCATTGTTATTATTATCAGAAGATGATACCGGGGCCTCTCTCATTAGTAGCTATTGTTGGTATGTATTTGTGAAATACATGTACGTTACCTGCTTCAAAACAGTGTGATGTTCCGAGTGACAATTTCCAACAGGGAAAGGAGTTTTTGTATTCTACTTTCATAAATGTGACCCGGCATAACAAAACGAGCATAAATTCACATTCCTCTCTCTTCTATTTTGACGGTTCAAAGTCCAATATTGAAGGGAGGTCAGTTTGGGTGTTTTGTCATCTTTGGAAAGAGTAACCCATCTTTTTAATTCCAAATGGTTCACAGGATCAGATATTTAACAATGCCATTTTCTCAGCAGTGGTGATGATAGCATTATTCATGCCCAGTCAGAAATGTTGAAACAATGTCGGAAACAAAGACACAAAGCTGCCAGAACAATGTCACATTGTCACCTTATACTCTTACCCCAAGTGTTTCATGTACATGCCATTGGAAAGCTCTCTTTCTGCTGAATTTAAAAATACCAATATCTCAACTTTTGAAAATTCCAACTTCCAGCTCATTTTGTGGTGACAGATCACAAATGACATGTTACCTGGCAACACGTAACGCATTTTTGGTCATGTTTTGCCCCGAGTGGTGATGCAGTGGATAATGGGACTCATTGTCTGTCTCTTCTCTCTGTAGGCAGAGTTTGGGAGCAGGGAGGAAGCTCTGGACGCTGAGATCCAAACATTCCGGGACACCAAGACCAAGCTGCAGCACACCATACAGATGAAGAGCGACATGACGGTAAGTAAACAGTGGAGCGTCAATTTGCTTTTAATTCCAGAGAGTATGGTGACCTTGTAATTGACCAAGCGGTGGAATGTACATGTGCATGTATGAGGATGCGGAATTGGAACTCATTGTCGTCCGTCTCCACGTTGGTAGCTCCGCAATTTGTCATAGCGCGTACATGCTCCATGAAAGTATCATTCAATAAGCAACTGCATGGCCAATACAGGCGTTTCACAATAGTGCGCCACCAAGAGATTGCAACGCGTTGGCCAATCACAATGCACAAAATTTGTCGACCTGATGCGCGTTCGGAAAGGGTCAACAAAGTGATTGGCCAATGCGTTGCAAACTCATGGTGGCGCACTATTGTGAATCGCCCGTATTCGCATGGCCCGCAGGAAGAATGAGGAATCTTTTGCAGGACTAGAAGTGATGGAATTGTTTCATGAGTATATACATATGAACGATTTAATAAGTTTCAACTTATAAACATATATTGTTAAACTGTGGCCTAACTGGTTTTATAGGAAAAGAACAAAGAGGATCTCAAGCAAATTGATCAGCAGTTGGGTCGAATGGAGACCAATGCCCATCGACTCAGAGAACTGGAAGAGGAGTTGAAAAGAGCTGTGAGTAAATGGAATGGCGTAGTCATTGAATGCAACATCTGGCCGTCTTTGCTGTTTCTCAGAATTGAAATTTTCACTAGCTACACATTCAGAACTATTGTGGCCCTGCAACTTTTAAAACATGGAACGCGAGTAATTTCTCAATGTTTATGTATACAAGCTGCCTGACGTGTGCAATTTGATTTTGCAAGAGGTGAATGCATTTTGGCCGCAGGCAGCTATGTAGACAAAGTAGAGTTGTTGAATTCCGTCCTCTTGAAAAACCAGTTTGAAATGAAGATTTCTAATGCCTACTAAAGCTGCGCTATCTTTTCACTCCAGGAGAGTGAGTTGAAAGAAGCCGAAGGTAGCATGGATTTGGACAAGCTAAGGCAGGAGGTACAGGAACTGCAGGTAGAGAAACAACAGCACGACGCTCAAATGAGTAAACTCAGGTAGGATTTGGCAGCAACAAAGCCTCTTCCTAGGTTTAGATATTAAATTTAAACTCTGGAAGTAGTTTGTGGCTAGTTTGCAGGGGGTTAGTTAACAGATTGTCTCAATTGGGAGCATTGTTTGTTCACACAGTTGACATGTTATCAATCTGGAAGTACTTTGCAGGTAGCTGGAAGATAGTTTTCAGGTAGAACGTGTCATGTCTGGGCATATTTCACATGATAGCTTGATAGTATTTCAGAGGTGGTTTCCAGAGAGCAAGAAGGTAGCTGACAGGTAGTTTTTAGGTAGAACGTGTCATGTCTGGGCATATTTCACATGATAGCTTGATAGTATTTCAGAGTTGGTTTCCAGAGAGCGAGAAGGTAGCTGGCAGGTAGTTTTCAGGTAGAACGTGTCATGTCTGGGCATATTTCACTTGATAGCTTGATAGTATTTCAGAGGTGGTTTCCAGAGAACGAGAAGGTAGCTGGCAGATAGTTTTCAGGTAGAACGTGTCATGTCTGGGCATATTTCACATGATAGCTTGATAGTATTTCAGAGGTGGTTTCCAGAGAGCGAGAAGGTAGCTGGCAGTTGGTTTTAGGTTTCTCTGTGTAATTCAGAGATTTGTTTATTACATGGAGTTAGTTTGCAGATAGCTGATAATGTGCAAGCACTTTGCCGGTAGTCTGCTGATTATGCGCTAGCAGGTTTAAGGTGGTCAGTGGAGACAGTTTCCAGATGGCTTATGCAGTAGTTCTCTTCTGTCAGATCGTGTTTTCAGTGACCATACCGCCTCTTTTTGTTGTCAGCAAGGAGATGTCGGCCATATCACTGCAGTCCAAGGCCAGAGCCCAACTGGAGATGCTGCAGAAAGAGAAGAATGCCAAAGAGGAGCAAATCAAAAAGATGTAAGTGAAGTGCATCCCCCCACCCCTGCCTTGTTTTCGTTTTGTGTTTGCTTGATAGATGGACAATGAGGAACGTTCCCGTCACCCCCAACAATTTGAACAAATTTAGTTTTGGGGCAACGATGATTGACTCGGTCCAGCTCAGATCCTTTAAAAAAAAATGTATCTGAAGATTTGCAGGATTTTGCAGGATTCGGGAAGGCAGAGCCCAGTCATTCACTAACACTTTGCATTGGGGCTTGACAGCGTCGGGTGCAGAGTATGTGCCATTGGTTTCCTGCTGAGTAGAAGACTTGTGACAATTCAGGGCATTTCCCCACTCCCCCCCCAAAAAAAAAAACGTCAGAGAGAGATCTGAGTTCATGTCCTTACACTGTCTTAGTTTCCTTGTTCTTGGTGTTTCTGCAGCCGGAGTCGTCATGAAGAGGATGTGAATCATCTCCTTGGTCACTTTCCAACGGAAAGCATCAGGAACACTCTTGCAGATTTCCTCGCGTAAGTTTGATTTAATACTTCACAATACCTACCATTTGGGTTTACTGTGCTTCTTTTGTCAGCCATATGCTGTTGAAACAGGGTAACCTCATAAAACCACTGGCTGTTGGTCGCAGCAGCGGAGTTATACCCCGTATTGTTCTCTTGCCCTTCATTATCGCGTTTCTAAGGTGAATTACCTATGTATGCGCTGAGGATTTGTTGTGTGGGCCTGGTTGGATCAATTTTGCTTGAAGAACGGGTTTTTTCCTCTGGCTTGCTAATGTGGCTCTTTTCAAATGTATTGTGCCAACTTCTTCATGGTCAGGACACAAGCACACACTCCACACTTTTCCAGATTGGATTTGTCAACAGTAAGATACTTCAGCAGCCAGACATGCTTTTAAACCTTCTACATGTGTTTTGTTTGAAAACAGACTTGCTGCGTAACAGCTGAAAAAAATTTAATTTGAAAGGTGCGTTACATAATTCTTTTTTTTTTTTACCGGGATTTTTCCTGTCAGCACAAATCCTATCATGCTTTACTCTCATTGCGATTGACTCCGTAGGTCTAAGGAAGGCGATATGCGCAACTCCCAGACTACATTGCAGCGAATTAGAGGCCAGTTGAGCACCAAGGAGGCCAATAGAAGAATGATCATGTAAGTCCGAGTTGGAGTGTATACAGTGTTAGTTCAAGGTGGAAATTGGAACCAGGGACCACGATGCATGAGCATCCGGTTGGTTCGATCACTGATGGGGATTGGAACCAGGTACTGTGATGCATGAGCATCTGGTTGGTTCGATCACTGATGGGGATTGTAACCAGGGACCTTGATGCATGAGCATCCAGTTAGTTCAGTCATCGATGGAGATTGGAACCAGGGACCGTGATGCATGTGCATCTGGTTGGTTTGGTCGTCGATGGGGATTGGAACCAGGGCCCGTGATGCATGAGCATCTTGTTGGTTCGGTCATCGATGGAGATTGGAACCTGGGACCATGATGCATGAGCATCTTGTTGGTTCGGTCATCGATGGAGATTGGAACCAGGTACTGTGATGCATGAGCATCTGGTTGGTTCTGTCATCGATGGGGATTGGAACCGTGGACCGTGATGTACAAGCATCAGGTTGGGTTGGTTCTGTTTTGTGGGTATAATCCAATACTGTGTAATTCTTCTCTTGTGGTCCGTGTCACATGGCTTGATATCTGTGGCAAGTCACATGACTTACGACACACATTGCACCACATGATTGACAATTGGCTCTTGCAGGGATCAACTCAAGAAGAAGGAGGAGGAGTTGCGAGGTTACGAGGGTCGCATGATGCAGGAATGTGGCAGCCAGGATGTGACGAACACCTTACAGGAACTCCAGCAATCCATTAACAACCTGCAGAGGTATAATGAGCCTGATCTCATGTTTGTCAGAATGTTGTCAGTCCCCTTCTGGCTTTGGACAGACAAACTAACAACCGCAGCGATATGGAATGTCTTGTCATACAAATGCAAACTTATGGTTGTCAGAAAGTTAATCAATTAGAAAACTAATTCCCAGTCAGTTAAACCTGCAGAGGTATAGCGTGCCTGATCTTAAACGATCAAGTTTCTGTTGGCATTATGGCTGACTCTGTAGAGCTGTCAATTTACGATACCGCGCACGATATGGGGCCGATGGGTACCCCCCACATGTCCAATCCCTATACACACTTTAGACTATTGTTATCTAACACATCCCCCGTAGAAGTCTGTAAAGAATTGCTGAGATTCCGATCAAACAGTGACCAACACAAAGCTGGGGGGTTCTCTCCACCCCGTATCTTGCATCATATGCAATTTACAACCCATAGAGGTATGGCATGCCTGATCAAACACATTCGTACTTCTTTTTCCCATCTGTGGTGGTACCGGCTTTAAACACCAGTTGGACATATGGTGAGAAATGTCAATAAGCTATGTTGAAAAATGTTGCGCCCACAAATGTTGAAAAGAAATGTCAGTCAATTGTGTTGAGGTACATGTAGAAGTATTGCCTTGCATCGTATTGTTTTAATGTTATTCATTCAGTACTGATGAATAGAAAGATCTGAATGTAAAGATAAATGTAATTTCACGTCGGGCTGACGGCAGCATTGATGTGATCTGTCTGTACACAGTGAGAAGGGCGCACTAACTGGCAGTTCCCACCTGTTTGAGCGTTACATCCGGTCTCTGCAGAGGGCCGAGGCCCAGTGCCCGCTGTGCCACAGGGGTTTCGATGGGCAGAGCGAGGTGGACGAACTCGTACAGGAGGTAAGATGCATGGAAATACGATATTGCATTGGCTGTGTTGGAAGAACTTGAACCCTTGGTCGAGACGATGCCCCAAATGATCATCAGGTGAGTCTGTTGGCCCACGCTTTGGTGGGATCCTTCACAGGTGTCTCCATGCATAGCAGGTGGCACAGCAGATTTCACTATAAACTTCTCACCCATGCCTCAATGTCATGTTTGTTAAGAAGCGCTGCCCCCTTTGTGTATACCCGCCTGACGTTCCATGGGTAATCCACACAGGGTCCCCTACAGTTCACCGTACTTGTACAAGGGTTGTATGCGACAAGATCTGCAAATCAGTTTCACTTGCGTATGTTGTAGAAGGAAATTATTAACTGCGCATGTCCAAGTTTTAGGCCCATTTACATCCGTAATGAGGGCCATGAGAATTCGCGCCAGGCAAGCAGCTGCTTCATTTCACGAAATTTACGTCTTATTTTCACTTTTTGGAAATAAAAATCCCTGCCCAAAATATTTTCCTGGTAAAATGAGGCCTTTTCCAAATGTGTTTTGTGAAAATAAAATTGAGAAATAGTACCAGAGTGGTCAAACTAGTGATTTTTTGTGGAAAGCTCTTTTCATAAGCGGTAGTTTGTTTACGTTTTGATGCAATTTTTGAAGGCTACAAACAAAGAATTCAAATTTTTCTTGAAGTTTTCAGTGGTGGACTGTGGTGGAGAACGATGTGAAGGTTTTAGATTTGCTGACGGTTTTCCGCTCGATTTTTTTCTCTTTCCGACGGGACGCGTTTGCATATCGACCTAACTCAGCACTGATTCGTTTATCCTACATAATCTTACGGCATTGTGAGCATAAGAATTCAGTGACTCGGGAATGAAAGACTAACATGAAAGTACAGTAAGTTAACATGAAGTTTATTATTGAAACGGAGGTCTATCTGTCATTGTAACATTGCCAGGAAATGTTGAAATTCACAGGTATTTATCCCCAGTTTTGCGTGTCCTGTACATGCATGAATCGCATGAACATTATATAAACCAGCTCCGACGCATAATTTCCATGTACATGCATATGTACATGTATGGTATGCATATAACAGGCCGTTGGACACAGTGTACTGGCACGTTACGTAGCTGGAGCGGTTTTGTGCATGTAAAACGTGTAGAATGCGCTGCGCCGAAGTGTCTCAAGTAATAAAAATCTAGCTACATATAACTGATTCTACTGTATAGTTGAGATTCTGGCCTGTAGTATGCAGTGTCTCGTTCTTGAAAAACTTCTAAAATTGATTAATTTAGTGGGAGGAAAGACGGAGAGATCGATTGAAAATGGAAATATTTTATCATCTTAGCAACCACTTTGAGGCTAAGTTTCATATTTCAATTTATGTAGCATTTCTTTTCACGATTCTGTGGTGTTTTATTTCGTTTAAGCTTTCTAGAGCACATAGAAAGAGTTTCAATGTGATCTTTTTTTGACTTTGTACAAACGAAGTCTTCAAAATGAGAAGGCTCAATAGAGGATTGGCAAGTTGCTAAGGACAATTCCGTATCGTTCACGAGGGTCCAGTCAAGTAACCACTAGACACAGTCAAAGGCGTTAATTTCCACCCTTCGAATGGGAGTGAAACATACGCGGAAACAAGCCACAGAATCAAAATGTAGAGGTCAAAGTTCAGATGACTAACATGTCTTGTATGCATTGTGCTGTTTCTTTACTGCTCAGCTTCAAGACAAGTTGCGGATGGCCCCAGCTAAGATGGCAGAGAAAGACAAGTCCATTCAGCAGAGCAGAGCTAAGTATGACAAGTTGATCGAGCTGAAGCCAGTCAAGGACAGCGTGAGTTTAATCCCTGAGGAGTTACTTTACTCTAAAAACTGCATCATTCTCAGATATTTCTTTTCCATTGGTCTTTCAGTGGTTATATTTGAGGTTCTTGAAAGGGAGTGACACAACATTTTCTCTTGGTCCCTCGTTCACCAGGAAATAGAGGCTTTGCATGGTAGCAGTCTGACAGGGCAGTTCTTTGGTTCCCACAGGCAAACCTCGTTTGTGCATGCCCCGTGGAACAAAAGCACTGGCCTGCATGATGGCAGCTGTGCAAACCCTCTATAATCAACTTCAAACTGCCACCTGAAAGGAGTAACTTATTCAAATGGTAAAAACTGGATCATTGAACATTAGATTCCCAGCAGAATTTTTCCCAAAGACACTTTGAAACAATTTGTGCTTGGATTAACGCTTAAGTTCAGTCTAAGAATTTAGACTGTTATTGGTTAATTCCTCTCACATGACTGGCCATTCTCCTAATTATCATACATACGCATGCGCATTACTCCAAATGGGTCCGTATTTCATAGAGGCGTAAATTCTTGGCAGCACTGCGAGACTCGAGACCGCATGGCCGGCCAGCCATGTGCGAAGTGGCATTTGGAAATTGGTACGTGTTCAAGTACTGTACGTGTACATGGTCGAAGTGCCGCGCTGTACGTAGGTACACACATGCAATCGTGAAACAAAATCGAAATCATTGCAGAAGGAAAGAACTTGAAGTTTGTTGAGCGGGGGACTGCGGATCCCAAAAGAGATTGATATATCGGTAAAAAACTAGTGGAGCTGGTCATGGTGTGACAAATTGTTACTGGCTGTAACGAAAGATGAGCATGTGGTGAGCAACTGCTTTCGTAAGCTTTAAGATCCTGGAGAAGCATGGTGTGAGTGGTGTTGTGTTCATTTCAAGTATAGTACTTCTGGAGCGAAAGCATTGATACAGCATGCAGCTAAGCACTAGAAGCACCCCAAACATTTCCATGAAAGAAGAACGAACTACATCACAGGTTTTACATGTCCAATTAATTAGTAAAACAAAATCAGAGTAATTTTTAAAAAAATGAGAAATGTCCTTATAATTGAGAAGATTTTGCTTCTATAAATTAGAGGCAAATGGGCCATGAATTGCCTCTGATTGCACCACAGCGCATCTAGAATCCAAAATTATCCGAGGCCCTTAAGCAGGCGGTGGACCCCACACCATAAGGGCTTCGCGCTCGCAGTAGTCTTCCCTTGATTAATTTCATTTCTGTTTTTGTTTGGTTCACTGCATTACCTTCAGCAAATGTTTATCCCTTTTTCATCGACTGCACGAGGTAATTGCCGGCATTGTTGTCTCCATTGCCCACAGATGACTAAGCTGGCTGACCACGAGATACCGGAGCTGAAGTCCAAACTTGCTGCCGTCAATGCGGACATTGCGAAACTCAAGACAGCACTGTCGGATGTAAGATTTCCTCACTGGCTTTCCTCTTTCCAGCAGCTGAAACTCTAGGTTAACAAGCTTTTCAAATGAACCACAACTAAACCCTGTTATGTTTGTTGCAACATTCCACATTTGATTCTGTGTGCTGCTGTCCATGAAAAATAACATTTTATAACATATAGTTGCAGTTCTTGTTTCAACTGCTCAAGAAGCCTTGTGGTTGAATACATACTGCAAGTTCTTTTCACGAGTCACAACTAGCACCATAACCAAGTACTTTTACTACCAACAGTGACAGGAAAATAAAGGAATATCTTTGTTGCAGTTCATGTATGAAAAATAGTGTTGTAGTTGAGAGCTCTTAAAACCATCATAAGACCAACAAATGACCAACACGAGACCAACACAAGCCCAACGACCAACACGAGACCAACACAAGCCCAACACATGACCAACACAAGACCAACAAATGACCAACACAAGACCATCACAAGACCAACACGAGACCAACACAAGACCAACACCAGACCAACACAAGACCCACACAAGACCATCATAAGACCAACACCAGACCAACACAAGACCATCACAAGACGAACACCAGACCAACACAAGACCATCACAAGACCAACACAAGACCAACACAGCCAACACAAGCCCAACACAAGACCAACACGAGACCAACACAAGCCCAACACATGACCAACACAAGACCAACAAATGACCACCAAGGTTGGTATTGAGACTGGAGCAATTGTGGCTTCTTATGAAGGCTTGTGATTTCTGTGATTTCTTGTGTGTTGTATGCAGTGTATGATGGGAAAGAATGGGGTGGGGTCATTGTATGGCGCCAGTGGGAGGAATAGCACACTTAATCAGTTTTGTTTGATCACAAGAAATTGAAAGGCGCATTTCTACCATTTCCAATCGTGGATGATAAATTACCCTGGAAGATTCAAATCGATGGCTTCACAAAATGACTGTCTGTTTGAAATGAAGATAATCGCACTCATTTTGCTTATGGTAGAAAAGTATACACTGATGACCCCCATTCTATTCCAACAATTGCAGTAAGCAGTGCCATACATCTTAGGTACAAAGGGCTTCAGCACATAGAACTTCAAGCCCCAGTGGAGTACTTTGCAAGTACTTCACACTTACTGTATACTTGCAAAGTACTCAACTGTGGTTAATGTCAAGTATTTGCAAAGTACTCAACTGTGGTTTGAAGTCTTGTGAATTTCAATATGCCAGGAGGAAGAAGTCCTGAGCATTCTGGAAGTGGATGTCAGCATGGCCAATGAGATGAAACCCGACATCTGGCAGATGGATAGCTGCCTGAGGGAACTGAAAGATCTGGAGAGGAGGCTAGCTGTGCAGTCACAGCAGCTGTCAGGAGCGGGTAAGAGGTCAACGGTCATAGGTCAGACAGCTAGCTACCTTGGGATATTGGAGAGGACACTGTAGCAGGTGTAGTTGAAGGGTAGCTGTAGATTACCAAAGCATGACGTCATCTGGACCTGGAAGTGTGATGCAACTGAATGTAGTACATACGCATGTTGTTCTCATGCTAATGGCTCTTACACTCACAGTTTTGTGCATGACATTCACTTCTATACTGTAGGGTTAGGGGTCACAGCGGTAGAAACCTTAGGTATAATTAGGCAGTGTCTAAGTTAACTGGCTGTGGCTATCAGGAGCACATGTGTCTATGGGAAGCAGCTCCAGCCACTGACTAGTGGCCTTCGTAGGTGACTGTCATTTCCGACCACAGCCATAACTTTCAGATGCAAGATCTGAATTAGATGAGCAATAATGTAGTTCTAAAACAGGAATATTTCTGATAATTGAACAGATGCAGGTCGGACCATTCAGCAAGTGAACGCTGAGAGACAGGACCTGGAGATCAAGCTGTAAGTTGCTAACAGAATTCCTTAAAAGGAAACTATTTCTTAAAATGTTGTCTTTGTAAACTTTGTAAAAAAAAAAAATGGCGTGATGAGCCTCCTGAAATAATCTCCTCAACATTTTGGCCTTACTTGAATAAGATAGGCCTCGCACAGAAATCTGATCGTACACATACATGTATCAAAGAAGATTCATATATATGATAGATATCTTTAGTTTTGAAATATCCTATCCAAAGTCAATGCCAAAGTGCAATAGCACACGTTCATGAAAGACATATTTTTAATTTCAGATAAGCAAAAGTGGTTGGGAGTCAGTTGTCAGGTCATGCTGGGGAGATCACGGTGAGACATTGCAGATGTCTCTGACAACCAGCATAGGAGTTTGTTACTAAAGTATATCAGGCGCCTTTGACAATTTTCCCCCTTGTTGGTTTGTCCGATCCAGTGACACCGTCAACCGGACACTGGACCACAAACAGGGCCAGATCAACCAGCAGAGCGAGACGCTGCAGGTGCTGGGCGCCAGTGTCAACAGCATCACCAGCGAGAAGCTGCGGCTGAGCGGCGAGCTGCAGCAGCAGGAAAAGCTGCAGGGCCAGCGGGCCGAGCTGGCCGCCGCCAACCAGGGCTACGCCCGGGAGATCACGGTGAGGGATCACAGACATCTCTGACAACCATTTCCGTGGTCGCGCAGCACATGGCTGTCGTGTTTTTTTAAAATCATTCTATTGCACCTTTGTGTGGTGCATCTGAGTGATAGAAAAAATCAATTTGAAAAAAAATGAAATATTCGAAAAACTAATGTATTCTCTCGCAATTCTGATCATTATGTACAGATTGATCGTTGAACGAACATTGCTTGAAGGACTCAAATTTAGCATTTAGAGGCTGACTTTGTGAAATTTTGTTGGCAAACATGGGTTAGTCGAACGAACAAGACGTTATTGGTTAAGACATGTGGCACCTTTGCAAGCAGACTTGATAGTCGTTCAGTTTAGCTCTAAAACATCTTATTCATTCTCATTTTGTATTTTTTGTCATCTGCAGGATGCCAGAAAACAAGTCCATCCAGTTGAAGTAAGTGTTTATCTCTGGTTATTCATTGTTTGATCAGAAAATACATGAATTTTCAAGATCGACTATTTAACTGTATGGAATTGTCATCAGTGGTGAGATTGGTCTGCATTTTGTCTGGATTGGTCTGCATTCATCTGGATTGGTCTGCATTCATCTGGATTGGTTTGGATTCATCTGGATTGGTCTGCATTCATCTGGATTGGTTTGGATTCATCTGGATTGGTCTGGATTGGTCTGCATTCATCTGGATTGGTCTGCACTTTATGTAAAAATGTATTCAGAATGTACATATGATCTATTTGAAATGGCTTTGCTGAAAGTATAAACAAGTAAAGTTAAGGTTAAGATTAAGGTTAAGAGTGCACATTCTCGTGTTGTTACTCCTGCTGGAATGCAATGTAAATACCACTGAACTGTGGGGGGTATATGGTGTTTAAACTGTAAGTACTTGGCGCAACTGCTAGCTTTCTACAATATGCTCTGCACTTACCCTCTACAAGCATTTTAACAATGATGTTACTTGGTTAAAAATTCACTGTTATCCGACATTTAGCCAATTAGTTTCCCGGTCACAGAAAATATCATGCGCCATTTTGTTTTTTCAGCATGTATTTCATTAGTTGTTGCTTCAGTTGACCAAAAAGGCTCACAAAGTTCTTAATCGTGGTGGAGATCTTTCAGGGGGCCAAGGCCTGAAAATTGGTTGAAATTTTTGTGGCAGGAACGTTTGGTGGAAAAAGAGGCATCAGAGGGGAAGATGATTATAATTGTAATTTAATAAAAAAAAAATCAACATGCAATGATACCATAGGTGCCACTGGTTGCCGTAAATTGTGGAAATATTCTGACGGAGGATTGGAGGCGGTAGACAGAGGGGCACATTTCTTTCCTGGATTTTTTGGTTTCCCGAAATCTTACCCTTGTTGTAAGGCCTGTGTCCTCAAGCAAGATACCTAACTGCAATTTTAATTTGAGTAGTGTGGAAGTTGTTTGTTGCCCAGGGTTGAGCAGTGCGAACATGTTTAAAAAAACGGACAACTGTGTTCCTGTGTCTTCAGCGCAAGTTGGACAAACTGACCGAGGACAAGACGGCCCTGATGAAGGAGAAACAGAAGAAGTCTGAGGAGCAGGCGGCACATCGGGATGCAGTACGTCGGAAGCGGCATGACGTCAAAGCCTACACGTCCTCCATTGAAAGGTATTCGCCATTCACTCCCTACTCAAGTACCCCCATCAGCAGTGACGAGAAGGGCTGGACAGATACAGGAATTCTATTGGCTAATACCAGCTTTCCCAGTTCATCAGTTTCAGCCTGTAGTGTTCCCAAGGTGAAGGAGCTGAGGGAAACATGGCTTTCCAACAGGTCACCAAAAGAGGCTTGATTGAGTGTGTCTCACCCACGGGGTCTTGCACAGTTTTAAAGGTGCCTGATTCATGAACCAAAATTCAGTGCAGACGTACTGTGATTTCACTTTAAAAGTAATTGACAAGTTACCCACACATTTTTTTAAAGTTTTCCCTCATGAAAATGTTCAAGCCCAATTTAGTCCTGCATCAAAAAGTATACCCTTTACAGGTACGTCACATGGGTAGCTGATGGTTTGGTACTTTCCTGAATGAAATGGCCAGGATATATGTAGTCTGTATTGGCCGAAATAAGCATCCTGTTCACAAAATATCAGGGTTCCTACAGTTGTGGAAAATCTCAACGACAAAAAAAAGTTATTCTGGAAAGTTGTGGAAAAGTCATTGAAATCAAGATCATGTAAGTGTTAATTTTGATTGGCTGCTTTGATGTGATAAAGAACAAAGATGCTATTTAAGTTTTCTTCTTCTTGTCAGCCTGTAGCAGTGGCTAGGGCGGTCTTCCAGTTCATACTCTCCTGGAAAGTCCCGGAATTTGGTTTTCAGATTTGTGTGGGAACCCTGAATGTGCATTTGTGAAAGCCGCTTGAAAGCTAAACTCAACTAACTCCCTTTCTGTGACAGGATCGCTCACTTCCCACATGTTCTCTTGGCAGTTATGTCTCGGATGGCAAGGAGGAGAAACTTGAGAAAGGCCGCACTGAGATAGCGTCCTTCAACGACAAGCTGGCAGAGATAATAAGGGAGAAGAAGGAGGTGACGTCCACCATTAGCCAGTTGAACGAGGATCTGGCCATGCGTCAGGTGGGCAGTGATATACAGGAGGGACGCAGACCACGGAATGGTCCAACTCACGCCCAAAGCGGAAATGGATTCTTGTTTTCATTTAGCTACCGGTACTCTTTCCGTCGCATGAATATGAAACATTCATTATTTGTTGTGTACGATGCCTGCCTTCATCCCTGTATCAGCTGAAGTAACCCTTGTATCACTGACTAGTTCAGACATTTCTTGTGACGGGAGCAATGGAACTTCCATTTACGAGTAGAATGGAACTTCTGTTTTTGTTGCACTTCTGTGTCTCATGTTGGAATATACCATTCAGTGATATGTGATCCAAGATCAATCAGATGGCAGGGCTACATTCAGGTGCTGTATGCAGTACTGACCTGACAACTAGAACAATTTAGTCGTATTTCCTACGGGAAATTCTTGAAAATATGATTGTACGTTTCCTCCTCCATAAAATATGGGTTTTGTCAATTTGGACACACCTGAAAAAAATCGTAGTTCAATGGTTGCAAGCATGCATTATGCTAGGAAAAAACCGGCTGCGAATGTACATGTACAATGTAAATGGACATCCGTACAGGGTATGCCGGCACATGTACAAACATCGTGTGCAAACAGCATCTGGCAACCACCCGATCATTATGTTGTGATTGGCTGCCCATGAAATATCAATATTCATGTGTGCATTAGTGGGACTCTGTAAAGCTGCTTGTGCATCGGTGAAAGTAGTGACAAACAATCTCCAGTATTTTATGAAGCGCATTTTACTGTCACCGTAAATATGTGGCTTGAAATAAGGTTAGTAAATTTTCCACTTTTGCTGATAGATGGAGGGCTTTGTGGCAACTGGTGCAGGGCAAAGATATTGTGTCATGCATTATTACATGGCTTTTACATGTTTCATCTGCTTCATTTTTTTAACGAAATTTCAAACAAATTTGGGAGGACTCATCAACACGTCAGTGCAACACCTGTGCGTGAATTGTCTAAACAGGGTCCGATTTGGATGCGATCTTTGACAAGACCAATCCTAAAGTTAAAAATTTGCGGAAATAAACAAAGATAGAGACATATTACGGCCGTCCAGCAAGCAGGCAATGAAACCCACGCCAGGAATTTCCAAAAGCCTGGACATGCGATGAGCTTTTCAAGATTTCAGATTTTGAAAACGTGGTCAAATCAGGCGGGAATAGGGCCGTTTCACTCTTCAACCTCGATAATGGATTTCTCGTGTGATTATTTCATGCATGAAGAAGTGTTGACGCAATCTAGTCCGAGTTACTCAGACTTATGATAGACCCAATCCAGACAAGGGGTTAAGATGATCACGTGGAAGAATATGCTCATTTTTTGCAAAATACGATTTTTTAATGAGAAATATGGCTTCTGAATTTTCAGAATACAGTTTTGTGATCCAACAGGTTGGCAGGTCTGATATGTGTTCTTTGTGCACATCATATACAAACACATGAGGAGTCATTCTAGTTTGGAAATGAATTACGATAAAAGTAGAGCTCAGGTTGCCGGTTATTAAACAGTGGAGTGGTGGAATGCGTGTTTCTTAAAGGTAAGGGAGCGAGAGTTGTCGGATAACATCCAGCTGCGTAAGAAGGCCACCGAGATCACCAAGGTGCAGCAGAACCTGAGTAAGCTGGAGGAGCAGCTGGGAGGCATTGACCAGGAACACGTCAAGGAGGAGAAGAGAACACTGAACTCCAAGGCAGGCAGTCTGAACAAAGAGGTGCGTTGAGCGGCTCAGAGGGGGTACGTCGGGGGTGCGTGAGGGGGGGTTGTTCAAGGATTCTTCGGCGGCCGAAGGGAACATTTGTGGATTGATTTGGAGCAATCTAAGGAGAACGGACTTGAATAAAGCTGCTTGTCCAGTTTTCAATGAATGTGTCACTGTAACATTTCGTGTTCAAAAAAATGCAGATTACCTACCAAACAAAAATGGTTCTATATCAATGTCAGTATTACAGTATCAAATTATACTGGCCAGATGTAAGAGGAGCACAAAAATGTCACACATTTGGGACCCCTTCATTTAAAGAATGACCCATCTACAAGCAGACGAAATCCACACAGTGTGGCCTTGCACAGGTCCACCAAGTTTCTCCCCCCCCTTCCTATTCTTTTATAAAAGGCATTTGGGGCTGGAATCGTCTGCCATAAAACAATGATAAATGGTAAAGGAATCTAGTTTGATTGGGTGTTCATCAGGGCAGAAAATGAGTATTTTCTCGGAGTTATCCCAACAGCACAAAAACAGGTTTGTTCGTATACGTTATGTTTGAGAAGTATGTGTGCACGTGTGGGTTGGTTTTTTTTTTGGCCCCATAGAAAAACCAGGCGGACGGTCGGCAAGTCGTGCTGAAAGAAGAGGTCAAGAAAGTGGAGAAGGAACTTGCCTCGGACATGTACAACAATGCTGATGACAAATACAATGACATGATGATCCAGCTCAGGGTATGCACTGTCACGTGTCATAGTTTCAGTATATATGGCATAAATGGGGGACATGTTGAAGAAGTAGGATCGGTGGGTAATACAGACCTCCCCGCCCTCCCGATTTTGGCAGAAAATTTCCAGTTGTTCACTTCGTTTCTGCCATTCCAATATCACCCCTAAAATTTCCGCCAAATTTGCAATTTTGATACACCTGTGTATTACCGGAAACTGACCATGTAATTTTGTGCATGTATCATAATATGACTTATCTGACTCATCTAAACAGTCAGTGCAGTCCACGTTGCGTGAGCCACGTCCATGGCAGTGCCCTCTTTTGACGCGTACCAGCCGCGAGATGGACATGATACATGGACGTGACATTGAAATTCATATTCATAATTCATAGATGAAAATGCCCTCTGTCGACAAGCTACAGTGTTACTAACACTGCATGTGTTGTGCAGCACCCAGTTCCGCTCGGAACAACAGCTAAGAACGTTTGGATCCAAGACTAAGTACTGCTGTGAAATTGACCATGATCATGTCAAGTGTGCAAGCACCACAGGGTGCATTTTTCTGCTGAATTTTGTGGAGAATCAACACAGTCAGGAGATAAGAAATTATTGTGGACCATTCCAGATGATGTAAAAATCTTGTGGAAGAAGGGTTCAAGAATGCATTAAGTAAAATATGACCCACACCCTGACTTTTTTGAGTTAAGGCCCTTGAAAAGAGTCTTTTACAGTATAAACAATATCGATCCTCACCATCTGTCATCCTCGTAATATCCATTTTCATGAGGATACCAAACAGTGATACATCAGACAAAGAGCTCAGTTTGCTCTTTCCAATAGAGGTTTTGCAGTGGCTGCCATCTTGGAGGCCAGTGCTTTTGTTCCATAGGGTATGGACACAAGAGATTTCCCTGTGGAACAAAAGAACTGCCTTGCAAGGTGGCTACCACGCAAAGCCTGTATACAAACTAAAACTCATGAGTGGCTTTTGACTCACTTTCACGGAGGACACAAATACTGACTTCCTCGAGAGTTAAAAATATCCGAACTAATTGCTTCCCCCTCTCAAAAAAAGGTTTCATGTAATAATTGTCAGTTTATGACACCTCACTTTTCAAGGGTGCATTTCCGATTTTGCACATTACAGACTACAGATATTGCCAATGATGATCTGGACAAGTATTCCAAGGCATTGAACAGGTAGGTCCAGAGGAAATGCATTCCTGTCATTACTTTGTAGGTAATGACACCAAGTGTTTTAAAAGATGTTGAAGACCTACAAATTTCAAGTCAGTGAAATAAAATCCAACCAAAAATCTTGCCAGAGTGATAGACAATCCCATCAGTCAGAATTAAGCAGGGCTTGGCTAAAATCAATCCACTTACTGTTACTCATTAATCAAACAAGCATTTAAAACAAAATGAGTCGCACATTAATGCAATTTGAAGTGGTCTTTGGTCAGGAGCATCATTTAGTGAGTGTATTGGCTGAATTTCTGTGCCCTTTCAGAGCAATCATGAATTACCACCAGATGAAGATGGCTGAGATCAACAAGATCATCAGAGACCTGTGGCGAGTCACCTACAAGGGACAAGGTAACATGACCAATCCCTAAGACTGATGCTTCCCTGATAGACACATCCTCACTTCGGTCATTTGATGAAAAAGTTCTGAGATGCTGGCTTTCACAAGGCTAAAGTTAAGTTAATTGTTTGTGCGCAGCCAAGAAGTGCCTTTTGTTTCCTTTAAACGATCCTCTGGCTTTACTCACAGACATTGATTACGTCGAGATCCGCTCCGATGAAGACATCGGAGGGACCCAGCAACGCAAGAACTACAACTACAGAGTGAGTGGGCTTCAGGATGTAAATTGTAAAAAGAAAGTACCTGTGTAATTCTTTCTGATCTATTATTTTGCCCGTTGTTTTAATATTATTTCTTAATAATTAACCTTTGACCCTTTGTTTCATTCCACCTTGTGTCTTGGTCAGGTTGTCATGGTGAAGGGGGAGACATCGCTAGACATGAGAGGGCGCTGTAGCGCTGGTCAAAAGGTCAGCACACCTTTCTTGTCAAGTTCCATGAATGGAAGTGATTTGCACCAAAGTTATTCAAACAATTGTCAAAAGTCAAAAGGTGACAATAAAAGAGACCCTTCAGCTAAGTCCAGTAGTTTCGACAATTTCTGTTTCCATGCGTTTTGAACACAGAAATGTCCATACAGAGTTGTTGTATCTCCTTGGTGATTTCAAAGAGACCCATGGTTTGAATATGCAAAAGTCACTTTGAAGTGGTGAAGCCATTGGCACCATGAATCACCTGGGCTTGAAAAGAGCACCCAAAGTACCCATGATGTCCCAAGGCACTTCCCGTCTGATATCTGAGACCGGGAATTTGATTTCTGCCCGCATTCTTACCAGCAGTTTGTTACAGTTGAAAGGGCTGTGCTTGTGTTTTGGTCATAATCAAACAATCGTGGGTAAATTGGGCTGGCCTGACCAGGAGGTCATGCATTGATGACGGTTGCCAAATGCATTCAAGCTGTTGAAAGCGATGGACATTTTCACACTTGTTTTGTATTGGTAATAGTTGGAGGCAGTGGGTGCGTGTTACACTCGACCGGCCATTTTGGAATCAACTAGCTTTGACCGGGAAGAACATAGGAACGCGTAACAGCTGCTGGTCATGTGGCTAGAGTAACTTCCCATACCTGTGTGTGTTACTCCTGGATCCATTTGCTGCGCATACTGCTTACGGTTTCTGTGAAATACGCAGGGCCTCTGTTAGCGTAAACTTGTTTGCTTAGCAGTGCCGTGAAATTAGGCCCTGGCCACAGTTGTTTTGGATGCTTCCATGCTTTCATCACACATTCTCAGTCTGCCTGCTGTCCGTGTACCACTGGTCCGTGAAAGTTGTATCTGGGACTGGTTCTCACTCAGGTCCTGGCCTCCTTGATCATCCGGCTGGCACTAGCCGAGACATTCTGCCTGAGCTGTGGCATTCTAGCCCTGGATGAGCCCACCACCAACCTGGACAAAGAGAACATTGAGAGCCTGGCCCAGGCCTTGGTGGAGTGAGTACAGTTCACGCTGTCAAGACGGACGGTGATCTCTCGTTTGCTCTTGATCTTCACGGATTTCCGCCAGAGTGGAAACACTTGGGTGTGGATGATTTTAGAGACAATTTGGGACTTGAACCCAAGCTGGGCCTCTTGTGTTTGACCTGTGTGTGGTGTAATAAATATGTCTCACTTTAAACCTTTCACATGTGTTCAATGTGTTCACAGTAAACTCACCCCATTTTAGTTTTGAAACGATGCCCTATTCCAGCCGCAGGTGCCAGATTGACTAGAATCCTCCAGCTGTACAGTTATGCAAGATCTCAGGTGTTTGCCAGATTTCGGGGGGCCCCCTCTGAGCCTCCATAAAGCTCGTGGAAGACGTAGTGCAAATCTATGATATTTCACATACAAGAAGAAAAATGAACAACACTGCACTGTATTAGTTTCCAATCTAACACATAACCACCAATTACTAACTTTTGGAGGGGCGGGGGACCAGAGTAGTCAAACATCACCAAAGCACCCAGCCTTGGTATAATTCACCACCATCTCTAAACGCAGTGGCATTTTGTTTCTTCGTTCATCCAGCATCATTAAGAGTCGGGAGCAGCAGCGTAACTTCCAGCTGATCATCATCACCCACGATGAGGACTTTGTGGAGCTCCTGGGTCACTCGGACTATGCCGACTACTTCTACCGTGTCACCAAGAATGATGAGTAAGTTGTGCCAAATGGACATTGGCATCCCCAGAGGAACATGGCATGAAAATTGTAGATGGCAATGAATGGCTCATCAAGCCAGTTATTAAGGACTCATTGTTTGAGCTGATGCACTCTTTAATAGAGCATGAAACAACTACTTTTCATTTGAATGTGCACAAAATGGTTGTGTCCAATTCATGTGATGGTAACATACCACATCATGAGTTTTTAACAGCAATCATTGCAAGAGTGTACTGGTTGATTCTCACTTGATGCACGGAATGCACAACTAGTTGTTTTCACCTGATGGGGCACATACTTAGGTTGACTTTAAGCCAGTGGTTGGTTACGATCTGCCTCAAGCCCCTTTGAGTGAGAGGTGTGAGCATGAGTGCATGGTCTGAGCCCCCAACCTGCCATGATTTCTGTTTTTTAAAATCCAACTTAGGAAATTTTTGAAGGATTGCAAAAAGTGATTGTGTGTTGCAGTGTGAGACTTGCCTGCAAGAAGCATCCAGTACGGTGAGATTGGCTTACTGCATGGTGACCGTCTTGGAGGATTCAGGAAGGTTCCGAGTAGGCAGTTTAGTAATATTGGAAAATATCTTTTTTTTTTTCCGCCAGATACAAGTCCACTGTTTCCCGGCGTGAGATTGCTACACTGCAGGCCGTGGGCTGATGACAGATGACTGTTTCACCATGAGAAGACCTGGCCGTGGGGTAATCAAACCATCCTCAAATGACTTCTGATAAAACTCAAGAATAACTTCAAAACCATTTGACACTTCTGATCTCGTGTCTTTAACTTTTTTTGTAATTTTGAAATGTAAATGTACAAAGATTACAACATATGTGGTAGATATCACATAGCATAACTGTGATATCCCATCATATTTTGCATACTCAAAACTTCGTGCTTTTTTTCTTTATTTTTTAAAGCTTTCGAGCAATTTAATCCTTGACATTATATAGTCTGACTTCCGATGTTTCTAGTCTGACTTCCAA